CCTCTTCTCCCACCCTTTTTTAAAAACAAAGTCTCTCTTGCTTTGTCACTGACTTCCTTCACTCAGCAATACAGGGTGGGGCAAAAGTAGGTTTACAGTTGTTCGTATGGAAAATAGTAACAATAACTAAGAAATAATAATACCAGAATAAACTCTGTGTTTCGAGTACACACATCTGTAAACCTACTTCTGCCCCACCTGTATATCATGGACTTCTTTCTGTATCAGGGATATGCATCTGCTTCTTTCTTTTAGCTACATGTATTCCCCTATGAGATATTGGAGCTTCCTATCCACTGTGCCTTTCCTGGTTCTAGATGTGCCAAGAGAGTGACCCCCCAGGGGCTCTGGCAGGACTGAGGACTTGCAGAAATGGAAGGTGATATGCTACTGAGGCATGTACATATTAAATGTATAAAATCCTCTTACATTTTGCAGGAATTAAAGAGTCTTGCAACTAGGAAACCTGATAAAATTGGTGTTCCTGTAATTAAAGAAGGCACACTAGATGCGATTGTGGTTTGGTTTGCACTCCAGCTTGATGACGAACACAGTTTGTGCACAAGTCCTAGAGAGGAGTCATGCTGGGAGCAGGCTGTCTACCCCGTACATGACCTCGCAGGTATTATTTTGTCTTAATTTTTTTTGTTCCTTTTCTTAAACTTGTTGCTTCAATCCTCTACGCATTTGAGCCATCGTCAAAATTACTTTGAATATGAAGTTTCTAGTCAAGGGAGACTGAGTGCATCTTTGAGAATTTTCTTTCTCTATTTTAAAAGCAGCTTTAAATAATAGATGTAGCTGAGAAGAGAGACTAAAATACAACTGTGCTGCATACCACTCACAGATGTCTATCATTAAACCATTTCCTCAGCTCTGATGACTCTAGTTACCAGTAGGTAAGAGAAATGCTAGTCCATTTTTAATGGAACATAGTGGGTAAAGCTACTTTTAATGCAGGAGTTCTTACTGCTTATAGAATCTGATGGCATCTGTGGAGCCCCAGGTGATAGAAATGCACACACTCATGTAAGTACACAATTTTGCAGTTTTAGAGAGGTCATGAGTCCATGGCCTTCTCTAGGGAAGTTCTGTATTAAAGATATTTTTTGTATAGAATTTTTTTTTTACCAGCTGTTTGATGGGTTTCAACGTATTTCACAGCAGTTGTATTGCATAGAAAAATTCTGCCCTTTGAAAAGGCTATTTCTGTTTCTCCTAATCAAGGATCTGATTTGGCACAGTCATGGAATCAGCACAGTGTTTCGTTAGTGTGGTGTTTTTGGAGTCAGGTAGATTCAGATTCAGGTCTCAACTCTGCTACTTTCTGATGCCCTGGCTGGCCTTGCTGGTTGTTTCTCAGAGCTTCTGTTACGTGAAGTGTAAAAATGGGATTATGATGCCTCCCTTGCAGGACTGTTGTAGGGATTATTAGAGACAATGGATGTAAAATGCCTACCTTAGTGACCGGCACTTAATAAGTGATATTTTCTATTTGTGTTTATTCTAAGCCTCTTATAGTAACTTAGACAGATGGTCTTTTTTTTTTTTAATCCTTCTTAGTGAAAGGACATTTTAAATGTTTAAACATGAGAATAACAATTTGTATCTTCAACTGGCTTTAGTGCTGATAAGGGATTGCTATTGTGCATTCACATTTTAAAGTTTTATCAAGTGTGAAAGCTAATGGAAAAGAGCATGATATAGTCTCTTGTAGGACTTAGTCTTTCCTTATATTTTCAAATTTCTAAATATGCAAGGCTGTCATTAAGAAATATTACTGATAAACTTCTTTTTGAATACTGCTTTGTTCTTTTAGAAATTACTGTTAGAGAAAACAGTAATGTCTCTTTAAGCTAAAGTTAGCTTTGGTATTAATCTCTGAATTTCATCATCTCTCTGTTATTGTTGGCTTTATTACCAAAGAACTTTGAGAGTTCCCTATAGCCCTCTTCCCCCCCCCAACCC